GTAGCATGGAAGGAGGGAGTGTAGCAGGTATGCAAGGAGTGTAACATGGAGGGAGGGAGTGTAGCAGGCAGGCAGGGAGTGTAGCAGGTATGCAAGGAGTGTAGTAGGGAGACAGGGTGTAGCAGGGAGTGTAGCAGGCAGGGAGTGTAATAGGGAGGCAGGGTGTAGCAGGGAGTGTAGAGGGAGGCAGGGACTGTAGCAGGTATGCAGGGAGTGTAGCAGGAATGCAGGGACTGTAGCAGGCATGCAAGGAGTGTAGCAGCCATGCAGGGAATGTAGCAGGCATGCAGGGAGTGTAGTAGGGAGACAGGGTGTAGCAGGGAGTGTAGGAGGAAGGCAGGGAGTGTAGCAGGCAGGGTGTAGCAGGGAGTGTAGGAGGAAGGCAGCAAGTGTAGCAGGGAGCAGGGGTGTAGCAGGGAGGCAGGGTGTAGCAGGGAGTGTAGGAGGCAGGGAGGGAAGTAACCCCAGAGAGGGCTTTAACCCTTATGGACTATAATTAATCGTTAAAAAATATTTTTTTGGTTCATATTTCTGGGTGTCTGGAACGGATTAATTGTATTTACATTAATTCTTATGGGAAATATTATTTCGGTTTTAGGCTATTTCGGTTGTAGGCCGACCTTCTGGAACAGATTATAGCCGATAACCGAGGATCCACAGTATGTGCTTGTAGATGCATGTGTAGTGTGACCTAAGTGTAAGTAGAAGTAGCAAGACATACCTGAAATCTTGCATGTTTATAAGACAGAAAAAAGACACCAATCCTACCAGTATGTAAAATAATTACAGGTTTCCATTTCACACTCACTTGGCAAGTCGGTAGTACCTCCCTGGGCGGTTGCTGTCTACCATCCTACTACCCAGGAATTATTATTATTATTATTATTGTCATCATAATCATCAGTACCAAGCACTAAACTCACAAGGGTCAAGGAATAGGTAGTAGATTACTAAAAGCATTTAATTTTTTTATGCAGAGAGTGAAGCTCAAGTGTGAGTATGTAGGAATGAGGGGAGGGAGACTATTTTCCATGAAAGTAGGACTTAGGGATGTGTGATGTCACCATGATTGTTTAACATGTTTCTAGATGAGGTTGTAAAAGAAGTAAATGCTTGGATGTTGGGAAGCGGTGTGAGATTAAAAGATTTTGTATCTGATACAAAGCAGGAGTTATCACAGTTGCTCTTTGCTGATGACACAGTTCTTTTGGGAGATTCTGAAGAGAAGTTCAAAGTTTGGTGGAAGAATTTGAGGGGAATATGTAAAAGAAATTAAAAGTGAATTTAAGAAAGAGCAAGGTGGTAAGAGTAACAAAAAATCTATCTAGTGAAAGATAGGATATCAGATTAGAGGGAGAGGGGTATATAGGAAGTAAATGTGTTCAGGTATTTGGGAGCAAACTTGTTGGTAGATGGGTCTATGAAAGATGCACTTAACCACTGAATTGAAGAGAAAAAAAAGTGGGTGGTGCATTGAGGCACATGGAAACAAAGAATCTTATCCATGGAGACCAAATGGGGGATGTACCAAAGTATAGTGGTACCAACACTGTTGTGTGGATGTAAGACATGTTTTAAAGTTACATTGAAGAGGTCGGAGGCAGTTGTCATGTTTGAGGGTAATGCGCAGGTGAATATTATGCAGAGAATCTTAAGCTTGAAGATTAAAAGATATTATTCACAGGGCTGAGGAGGGATAGTTGAGGTGGTTTGGACATTTATAGAGGATGGAGCAAAATGAGATGACTTAACCCTTTCAGGCTCTGTCCCGTAGATCTACGGCTTTACGTTCAGGGTCCAAACCGTAGATCTACGCCAAAATTCTAGCGGCGCCAAATTTAGCACGAGAAGGCTGGTAGGCCTACATCTGAGAGAATGGGTCTGGGTGGTCAGTGTGCACACCATAGAAAAAATCTGGACGCCCGCATGGCATTGTGGGAACGCCGGCAAAGTAGCTTTGTTCGTAGTGCCTGGCGGCAAGGAAGCTCTCACTCCCCACTCACTCTCCGGGCGAATTCTGACTCTCCTCTTCACAACTTACAGTTCTAAGACTGATGGAAGTGGAGCTGAAGACAAATTCTATGGTTTTGAACCATATGGTACAATGGTATCATATGGTACAATGGTACCATATGGTACAATGGTACCATATGGTACAATGGTACATTGTACCATATGGTGCATTATACCATATGGTACAGGGTACAGGGACCCTAATGGAAATAAGTCTGTCTGACTTTTTTGGGTTATCCTAGGTTCTCCAAACATATGCTGCTAGGTATGATATTCTATGTAACTTTATTTGTGTATAACTAAATAAACTTACTTATGATGCCACATGCACTTGAGTAAGTTTATTCAGGTGTACAGAAATACAGTTACGTAGATTATCATACATAGCAGCATACGTATAAAATCTTAGGATAACCCAAAAAAGTCAGGGTGACTTATTTCAGTAGTTATCCCTGTATCTGTATCATATGGTGTCCTGTACTGTATGGTACCCTGTACCATATGGTACAGGGTATCTGTACCATATGGTGTCCTGTACTGTATGGTACCTTGTATCATATGGTACCCTGCACCATATGTTATCCTGTACTGCATGGTACCCTTTACCATATAGTACAATGTACCATATGGTACCCTGTAACATATACCGTGTACCATATGGTCAATAGGTGTTGGTGGCATGAGACACCAGCCAAGACTGAGTGAGTGGCAACGCAAGCTAGCTACTGACTCTGCAGTTTCCAAGACAAAGTGCTTTGTCATCCACCTCAAGGAACACGTCAGGTTCCTGTACACTTGTAAATATATAATAGAACATTACTAATATACAACATTTTTGCATATTTTTGTTGTAAACAACTATTGTAAACAAAATAATAATGAAAATATTAGTGTTTATTGTGTTGAATACAACAGTACCATATGGTACAATGAACGATATGGTATCATTGTACTGTATGGTACAATGTACCATATGGTACCATTGCATCATATGGTACCATAAGATTACCATTGGGACCATATGGTACCATTGTACCAATGGTGCGCCATATGTACCTATATGGTACCATTGTATCATGGTAGCCATTGTGCCATATTGTACCATATGGTACTATTGTATCATATGGTGCCATTGTACCATATGGTACAATTGCACCCTATGGCACCATTGTACCATATGGTACCGTTGTATTCAACACAATAACCGCACTAATATTTTCATCATTTTGTTTACAATAAACTTGTAAACAAGTTTTGTAAGCAATATAATGATAAACAAATTAGTGCAGTTATTGCATGGAATACAATCAGTGTACACTAATACAATATACATTATACTGGTCTCACAGGCCACAAATGTTATTAGAAAAAGAAAAAACAGAAAAGAAAAGAAAAAAGTATAAAAAACGTAAAATAAAAAATGGGATTTTGCGGAAGTCACTGATGTTGCCGCCACCTGGTCATTTTGGGTCAACTTCCCGCCGCTGTATCTCGGTAAGTACTGATCAGAAATTTTTGTTTTTTGTCTTATTACCTTCACAAAAATATACTCTTTAATTCTGTAAGAAAAATAATTTTTTTTTTTTTTTTTCAAAATTTCTTGGACAAAATTTCTCTGGAGCACCACTTCAGATTTTGGCCTTGGACCCTGAAGGGGTTAAAATGTGTATAAATTTTTTTAAACGGGTATGGATCATCCTAGGAAAGGATGGAAGGAGGGGGTAAATGAGGGTTTGAGTGTTAGGAGCATGGACATCCCACAGGCTTGTGTGAGTGTGTTACCGTATTTTACAGCAAACAAGATGCTCCGATGTCGAGGACGCTTCCTCCATCTCAATTCTGACTGGCTAAATTTGGGAAAAAAAGATAAATGGTACTGCAGCCTCAAAGATGCTGGGTAAATTTATGGAATCAAAGGCACTATTTTTTGTAAAAAAATAGCACCTTTGATTCCATAAAATACGATATTTAAGAGTGAGTGGAGATAAAAAAAATAAAAATCATGACTTACCCTAACCAATGCTCAAAAGCACTTAAGTAAACCTACTTGGACTAGTCCCTAATCCATCACAAATCCTATCAACACTAAATTAAATACTAAAAACTTTAACATATTAAAACACTAAAAATGGTTTTTGAGACATGACTTGGTGTTGGAATGCGAGAAAGGTAACATTTATGGATGGATTCAGGGAAATCAGTTAGCCAGATTTGAGTCTGATATATAGCCAGTTATCCAGAGTATGGTGTATCCTAATCTCTTTTATTGGTGCAATGTTATTAATGATTGTAGTGAGGAACATTCTTAATTAAAAAACTGCAGGCATCATTTACATGTATGCAACATGTTACTACAAATTAGTCACAGTTTTCAGCTTGTATTATATTATCATCAGTTTCCTCAGAGGATATGAAAACACTGCATGTGTTGACTGTTGATGTGAGGGCTACTACTACAGAACTGATTCAGAAAAAACCTGATTTAATCCCATATGCATGGACCGAAGGTTACCTGGGTTATGGAAAATCTGATTAATGTAGTGGTGACAGTATACACTCATATTATGGTGTGCTTGACTTATGGCCAGTCATATAAGTTAATGTAAAGATCTGTTGAATGCAAAATATGCAGTGATTAATGTTTTAAATTTTTTTATTGTTACTAACAGGAATTTTCTTCATCATCTATATTATTATTATAATCAAGGGGGAAGCGCTAAACCCGGAGGATTATACAGCGCTTGGGGGGGGGGATGTGGAAGGCATTCAGGCTTAATTCGGGGAACTGGAGCACAGATCCAATTCCTAAATCAAGAGCCCCTCACCAACATCAAGGAACCTTCCTTAAGGGGTCATCATCTATAATACTCACTCTTTAAGCTGATGTCTTTTCCCCACATCTCTAACCTTGCCCATGCAATATGACCCTTACTGGTTAGTGACTCCTATGATAATACTTACCGAACATTCTTAAATATTGCTTTCAGACTGTGACAGTGTACAAGTATAATGAAGAGCCCTTCAGCTGGACTATTTGTCACAGTATAAATGTACCGTGTCCAGTTCTCTCCCTGGCATACTGTGATGTTATGGGTGATGGCTCCTACCAGCTCATTGTCATGACAACAACTGGGATTCATATTTTCCAGGTATTCTTGGAATGCATGAGTAATAAGCATAAATTAAAATATATTTATAGTTTATGTATCACACAAAACATTGGCTTTTATGAGCTTTGCTACTGATTTTTTTATTATGCATTATTGTTACTATACATTAAATTCTCATCTAGAAATCATTTTACCTAAGCTTCCCAGCAACCAGACAGCATCAACACTGGATGCTGCTTTGAATTCTTCAAAATCTGGATTAAGTAAAGTTATCAGCAAATCTCTACCTGAGACCTATAGGCATTGTCCACAGAATGTCTAGTTATAAGTCATCTTTCCTGTTAATGTTAGTTATGTTACAAGTAATATGTTACCTTGAATTCCAATTTTTTTAACCAGCTATTTCCTGCCAAGGTAGAATGACTCCAAAGAAGGAAACACATTCACAAGCATTCATTTAACAGCTCTCTTGTTGGAAGTATACAGACATAACAGTTTAAGTGACCCTTCAGACTGCAACATCAGCACTCATTTTTCAGACTACAGGCACTGTATTTCCCACCTCCAGAACAATAGTTCATCAAACCAAATCTTTCCTGAATTTATTTTGCAGCACCTCAAATCCAAAAAGTATTTTTTTCTCCACCCTGGTTAACATGCTCATACATGCCTGATGAATGCTTAGGCTTCTACCACTCAAAATCATATGATTTTTAAAAAAATCATGTGAAAAGTCTTTACTTTTCTTCCCACCCTCTCTGAGATATACTCTACACTCACATTGATCATCTACCTCAGATTTGGTCAAGCTTACTTTGCTCCATGTTTTTTAAATTGACCAAACCATCTCAGTATTCCCCATCACCACATACTACCACACTGTCTTCTAATATCTGCTCAGTATTCACATTACACATTAATCTCAAACTTGACATCTTGACTACTTCCATCCTCCTCACCTACAATATACAAAGACCATAACTCACAGACAGAGAAGTGTTGGTGCCACTATACTCTAGTACTTTTTCCTTATTTCCATCCACAGATGACTTAAAACTCCACCTAACTCTTTTTTTTTCCCTCTTGTTTTTTCATTTACCTTATCTTTCATCCATTTTCTTTCTTCATACTGTCTCCTCCAATGATATTTCCTAGATATTTTTTTATTCTTATTACCTTACTCTTTTCTATTTCTAATTTCCTTCTTTTACACATCCTCTCAAGCTCTACCATTATCCTTTACTATTTCTTTTCCAAACCACTCAAAAACACACTTTCCCAGTCAGCAAAGAGCAGTTGTGAGAACTTCAGTTTTATGTCAGATTCCTCATCATCTTAGCTCTTGCTTCTCTCCAGCATACTGTATGACCCTTGTCAAAGTCAAAGATTTATTTCCACACGATACAATGTTTGTACAGAAAATGGGTGACATTTAGTGCCTAGTTTTGATTGTAATAATAATAATTCTGTCCAAAACTTAAGAATTTAATTGTTTTGCAGCAATATAAATACGTAATCCCGCAGTAAATTACACTCGATCCCAATGATGTATTTTATGTATATGCTCTTTTTAAACTATTTTTGGGGGTTATTACAATTGATCTAATGCTATTGTTCCTATAATCTGGGTAATAAATTGGTTCATATCTGCACCTGACCATACTTATGGTTTGTAAAAAATTTATACCGTCTTTGTCACATCTTTAAATAACTCATTAATTTAACATCCTAAGGCCTACTTTTACAAAAACTCCTTTATTTAATCCACATACTTTATCATATATATAGTACATTCTAACTACTAAATGTTCCCCTTCATAAATCATTTTAACCCAATATGCTTATATTAATGCTTCAATTTCCCCATTTAACAATGGTCTAATGTCATATCCAGCTTTTTTACTTATCATTAACAATTATTGGCCTACTACATCCGTTAACATTCAGTACAGCACATTCAGATTACTTTTTAAACTAAATTATACACAGAACTACTCGGGTACATTCAAACCCAACTTCAAAATATTTCTCCCCCTTTTTTTTTTCATTTTAGAAAGACTATGTTCCACTTCATATGAATAGTTATGAAAAATTATTCCATTCTAAAACAACACTATGTATTAAATAAATTTTTACCTTCTTCTTTCAACCACACTGGCCGTATCTCACCGAGGCAGGGTGGCCAAAAAGTAAAAAGTTTCTTTTTTTAACTTTAGTAATGTATACAGGAGAAGGGGTTACTAGCCCCTTGCTCCCAGCATTTTAGTTACCTCTTACGGTACGCATGACTTACGGAGGAAGACTTCTGTTCCACTTCCATATGGAGATTAGTTATGATTATAATAATATAATTTAAACTCACCCACCCACCTTCATCTATTAAATAAAATTATTTTTGCATCATACACTACAAAGATACAGTAATCAGAAAAGTGGTTTCATTCATTATGTTTTCTGAAATTTAATGTTTTATATCGTCAGCACAACCCATGGGAATTAGCCTCGGTCATCATCGAGAGATTGGAAACCCTCATAAGTTTGAAGTCAGCTTTCAAGCTTCCCAAGGAAGTGGTTCAGGAGTCTAGTCAATGCAGTGGATGAAATATTTTATAAATGCTTGTGGATCCATCCTTCCAGGTATGGGCATTATCATTATTTGTTATTAAAGCAATAAAAAAATTATTACCGAGTTTCCTTAATGCCACTTTAACATCTGTATTTGTCACACATAATGTTTATCTAAGTAGATTGTTATTTGATGTTGTTCAATACATACCTTAACCCTGCTTAAAAAACTTTGCCTCTCCAGTAAATCCAGTAACAATTTGCTTGTTGAATCTCGATGCCAGCAGCAGTATGAATTACCACACAGGAAACATCTTACACTGTACACATCTTGTGTTACCATCAAATTCTCTCTCAATATTCACACATTTTTTTATTCATGATTACAATTGCTGACAGTGGTATAAGCTGTATATCTGATGCTTATTTATTTGCAGTTAGAAAATGTTAATAATAGTGCCCAGTCCCAATTGAGGGTAGATTATCTTATTTACATTTATTTATATTGGTAGATGATGGTGGTGGCAACACTGTATTGAGACCTACTTCCCAGTTTCTGTTGGAGTAATACACACTCAAATGAGTTAGCGACCAACTTTTCCCAGGCCTTACAAATTTAATTAACTTTTCTTGTATATTCACTGTTCACTATTTTATTTCCTGTACATGCACTTCACTAGTTTATCTTAGATTTTCCTATCTGATTTTGTAAAATTGCAGCATTGATTTCACTGAAGAACACAAAGGCACAATACTGTGACTGGAATAATGCACAAATAATCCACAGAAAGGAGAAAGAAACTAAATATGACATTCTGGTTTGACTTGGACCACTATCTCCACTTCTTTTTTCCTCCTCCTTTCTCTATCCTGTCGAGTATCTTTTTTATATGTACTGCTGTAATTAAATCATTTTCTTTCATACAGCTGGTGCTGCTTCATATTTAAAAGCTGACTTATAACAATACTGAGTTTAAAACTGATCCTATGAATTTATCTGCAACTAACTTACAGTATGAACTTTGACTTCTTTCTTTTACTTATGATCTCACCCACCATAATTCTTTCATTCATGTTACCTACCCTCAAGAAGTCCAGGAGCTGTAGCTCAACACCTTAATAAGGTTCAAGAGTTGTACTTCAACACCCTCAACCCTTCAAGAGGGAGAAGCCCTCCTTTTGTTCCAAGAAATTAGTGCTTCCCATCCCTTTCCTTGGATTGAACCTAATTATCTCCCATTTTCGGGGCACTGTATGACTTCCTACAGGTTTAGCACATCTCCATGAATATAACTATGTTTAAGGGGTTTAGCTGCATGACTTGTCGGTTTAGTACAGCGGACCCCGACTTACAATATTAATCCGTTCCAGAGAGCACATTGTAAGACAAAATTATTGTAAGTTGAATTAATTTTCCCCATAAGAAATAATGGAAATCAAATTAATCCGTTCAAGACACCCAAAAGTATGAAAAAAAAATTTTACCACATGAAATATACATTTTCCTACTCACAAAAAGAAGGATACATGCACAGTATATATTGTGCATGTACTAGTGTACTAAATGAAGAATAAAAGACACTTACCTTTATTGAAGATGTGGTGATGAGACACTGTGTCCTGGGAGTGCCTTTTCCTCCTGAGTAATGTAGGTCCTGTTTGGTATTTTCTTCCAGAACAGGCCTCATCACACTGTGTATGCCACTATGATTCTTAAATCTCTCAAACCAACCTTTGCTGGCTTTAAATTCACCAATATGAGCACTAGTTCCAGACATTTTTTCCTGTTCACCTGGGTGTTAGTCGACTGTTGTGGGTCGCATCCTGGGGCACAAGATTAAGGACCCCAATGGAAATAAGTTAGACAGTCCTAGATGACACACTGACTTTCTTGGGTTATCTTGGGTGGCTAACCCTCTGGGGTTAATTGTTTCTCGGTATTCTCGATAAGCCACACCAACAAAAGTCTCTCCACATCTTCGAGTAGTACAGCTGACCATGGTGCAGCAGCAGCTGACTGTAGTATTTCGATAGTATTTCTCACCCTTTTTACCACAGGGATGGCACTAGAAGCTTTCTTTGGGTCCATGGTGGCTTATTTAGCAGTTACAAGCACTAAAAACACTGGAATACAAAATTTATCGAATGTATGTGTGCAACCGTCCATCCTGGGTTGTAAACAATGTCACACTAGCTCAGCTGAGGCGCTCAGGCCAGACGCATTCAGGACGAATGATGTAAGTCAAGTTTTTCAACGTAGGTCGGGATCAAATATTTACGCTGACAAGCATCGTAAGTCGGTTTTATCGTAGGTTGAGGCCATCGAAGTCAGGGGTCCACTGTACTTTATTTGATTATAATAATCAAGGGCTTTTAGTATATAGAAAAACACTTAAGCCTGTAAGGGTCACAACAAGGCCTAGAAATAGGAGACATTCAGATGTGATGCATAGCTATTTATCAATAGCCTTTCATAAACATAAGGCACTACAATTCCTTGAAGAATAAACAAAGAAAAATGTCTGGCTTCTGGAGGGTGTTGCAAAATACCACCAAAAAAATTTGTCTTATAGTGCTGGCACCAAGCAGGGCTGAAGCACCCTATAATCTTTCCCTAGGCCCCCAGATAACAACTCAGCTTCAGTACAGGTCACTAAGCTCTTCTTTCAACCAAACTGTCACCCTTAAGCCACTCCTATATAAACCTTCTGGAGTCACCCCTGATTGTATAGATGTGAGAGCAAATAATTGTTTTTACTTTTATATTTTAATCAAGAATAATTTCCTTTCAAGGAGTGCCTTGATGTCAGTGAAGGGCTCTCGAGTCAAGAAATTGGAACTCCTCTTCTAGTATCAAACTGATTACCTATTTCCCAGGTGCTATATGACCCCAATAATTGGGTTAGCATTTTCCCATGTCATATAATTATAATCATGGGGAGCATTAAACCCGTAGGATTAAATGACGCATGTCGGGGGGAGGGGGATGGAAGGTATTTAGGCTCAATTTCAAGGAACCAGAGCACAATTCCAATTCCCTAGATCAAGAGCCCCTCACCAGCATTAAGGAACCTCCCTTGAGGGGACCATTTTCCCATGATAATATTAATTTAGAATAATTTATTACAATTCTTGATGTAAAGGATAACTGAAAGATACCATTACTGTCAACATTTACCATATCCAAGATACAGTTATATCACTAAATGACCCATACAGGTATAATATTTTGGGTGAAAATTATGATAAAAATATAGCGCTAAATCATGTAAATATAAAATAAAATTATTACAATAAGTACTAAAATTTTGTTCTTTATACAGCATTAAATAATAATAATACTATAGTAATATAAATACTGTACCTTGCTAATGAATAACTGAAAGTTAAAGATAGCAAATATTTAACTTAAATTAAGAGATTGTATGACTAGAGAAGTTACAAAGGTTGGCAGACAAATTTGGGAGGGTACTTAACCCTTAAACTGTCTAAACATAGATCTACATTCACATGCGTAGTGCTCCAAAAGTAGATCTACGTTTTTTACACATTTTCAAATATAACAAACAAAAAAAAGTAGATCAAGGTTTTTTTTACACTCTTTCAAATGTAAAAAAAAAAAAAAAAAAAAAAAGAAGATGTACCTTTTTTTACATACTTTCAAATGTTGAAAAAATGTAGATCTGTGTTTGGACAGTTTTAAGGGTTAAAAAAAGGAAATTAAAAGTGAACATAGGAAAGAGTAAAGTGATGAGGAGTAACAAAACACTTAGTTAATGAAAGATTGTATATCAGATTGGAGAGAGGGAGTATGGAGGAAGTGAATGTGATCAGATATTTGGGAGTGGACTTGTCAGCAGATGGATCTTTGAAAGACAAGGTGAACCAGAAAACTGATGAGGAAAAAAAGGTGGGTTGTGCACAGAAGCATCTATGGAAACAAAAAAAAAAAGGGAATGAGAGTACAGTGGTACCATCCTTTTAATGAGTGTGAAGCACAGATTGTGAATGTTACAGAGAGGACGAGGTTGGAAGCAGTGATGTTGTGTCTGAGTGTAATGTGTGGTGTTAATATTATGCAGAGAATTCGTAGTTTAAAGTTTAGAAGATGTGACGTTACAAAAAGTATTTTACAGAGGGCTGAGGAAGAGGGGCTGTTGAGGTGGTTTGGATATTTAGAGAAGATGGAGGAAAAACAGGGTAGGGGTCACCCTAGGACAAGTTGGCAGGAGGAAATAAAGATTTTGTATGTGAGGGGCTTGGACATCCAGCAGGTGTGCGTGAGCATGTTAGACAGGAGTGGAAGCAAGTGATTCTTATTACTTGTGCTGTTGGAGTGTGAGCAAGGTAACATGAAGGGATTCAGGGAGACTGATTAGCTGGACTCGAGTCCTGGAGGTAGGAAGTACAGTGCCTGCACTCTGAAGGAGAAGCAGGGATATTTACAGTTTAGAGTGGCATCCAAACTGTAGTTTCAGCACACCTTTGGCCAGACATTGATGGAATGACTGATGGTGACAGTGTTTCTTAGTGAGAGATGGCCAGTATATTAAAAAAAAAGGATTAGATAAACATTAATAACTTTGGTAAAAGATTATATAAAACTGTTATGCCCAGCCTAGTGAGTGCTCATAGATGAACAAGGAAGGAGACCTAGTGTGCAAGCAAAAATCTGTCGACAGCTTTGGGATAAATTTGATCATTACAGCTCTTTACATTCTAGGTAGTAGGTTGGTAGACAGCAACTGCCCAGGGAGGTACTACCGTCCTGCCAAGTGAGTGTAAAACGAAAGCCTGTAATTGTCTTACATGATGGTAGGATTGCTGGTGTCTTTTTTTCTGTCTCATGAACATGCAAGATTTCAGGTACGTCTTGCTACTTTTACTTACACTCAGGTCACACTACACATACATGTACAAGCATATATATACACACCCCTCTGGGTTTTCTTCTATTTTCTTTCTAGTTCTTGTTCTTGTTTATTTCCTCTTATCTCCATGGGGAAGTGGAACAGAATTCTTCCTCTGTAGGCCATGCGTGTTGTAAGAGGCGACTAAAATGCCGGGAGCAAGGGGCTAGTAACCCCTTCTCCTGTATATTTTACTAAATTTGAAAG